CTTTTTGCCTCTCGGCGAGTGTAAGTGTTCGAGTGTGTTTCCCGGTCCATGGAAACAAACAGCGTTGGACAATGCTAATGCCGCACATAAACCGATTTACTCAATTAAACTTTAAAATCACAAAAAAGAAAAACGTCCCTATCTCGTCTCTCTCTCTTTTGGCTTGCTTTTGGTTCGGTTTGGTTTTCTTTTCAAGTGCCTTTTGGCCCAAGGCAAAGCGAAAAACTGCGAACGTCACAATTTAATTAAGTTAAGTCTCTTGGACGAGCAGCAGCATCATGCATCTTTGGCTCTACTATATCTTCGACTGATAGTTGTCTAGATAATATTTCAAAAACCACTAATGGATTGAAATAAACAAAACCATTAGGATGCCAAAAACAAATACAAGATGTTTTGACAGAATATTGCTACATTAATAAACTTAAGGCTTGCCATAATTTATGATATTTTATAGAAATATTTAACAACTATTCTAGTTAAAACTACAAAACTTGAACTGAACTGTCACCTATTTAAGCCCAAACTCATATTGGCCATCGACAGCGAGTATTTTGTGGGTTTTTGGGTTCAGAGACACACACAGGTCGTAATCGGATTAACTGATAGCCGAGTGTGGCAGTCACGCCTGGATGGGGACCTGGCTGCATCTGTCGGATGCGAGATACTCTAATAGATACTATGTTAGATGCTGCCATGGCTAGAGATACGCGTTGCATGACCCGGCCTCGGCTCATTAGGCTTTCGCACAGCTTTTCACTCAATTAGCGCAGCATATCATTTGCTTACGGGGCTCTAATTAAATTATGCGATCCGATGGGATGAGATGAGGGGATGTGGCTGTCATGAGGTATGTCATGAGGTACTCCTCCTTCTCCTCCTTATTGCCTAACGGCAGAACGGGAGCCCCAACAATGGGACATTAGTCGGGGACCCAGGCCTATCATTATGTAATTTGTCGGGGCCTCGGTCCCGGAATCTTCAGTGGCCTGACGGCTCCTTACCATGGTGATGTTCTTGGGCTCGGTCAGGTGCTCAACTGATGTGCTGATGTCAGAGCCCGCATCATAACTTAAAATAGTAGCCGCGCTTCATGCCAGCCAATTAAATATTTTAAAGACTTCTTCTTTCGGTTTTTTTTCTTTTTTTTCTGCGCATTTCGGCGAAACGCGGAGGGAGCTGTCCTCCCCAAGTTGCTTTAATCTTTCGTTCCAAGAGATGAAAATTAAAATAAATTAACATAAAAAGTCAAAGAAGCCCAAGAAGTCGAAATAAAAGTTATGGCAACCTGCTCGCTGCAGTGCCACTTAATTGTCATGATAATTTTTCCCGAAAAAAGAAGAAGTACTTGCCAGAAAGCAGAGAGAAGGCCCCCCTCAAACAAAGGCCCAAATCAGCTGAATTAATTCGATTTAAATATTGAAAGTGACTGAAGAAAAGTCACAGAAAATAAAGACAGAGGGAAAGACAGTTCATCAAACCCACGTGGCCCAAAGTTAAGCATACGCAGTGTGGCCCAGCGATAAACTGGTAAAACTTTTTCCCGGCAAACAAAGTGTCCAACTGCCGTGAGCGATGGAGTGTACGGAGTTCTAACAAAGTTCTTTAGCCTATCTAACCATCCATCTTCCCAGCTATCATTCTTTCTTTGTACTCCGCAGCGGAAGTGCTAGACTCGATTCCTATTCCTATTCAATTCCGCAAATCTTTAACCACAGGCCAAAAACCACACGACTTAAAGTGCCCTAAGTTAAGGCATTTATATGTCATTATATTGGCAAAGTCACAGACATTTCAGGCATTTTTAATTAAAATGCTGCGGCAGATGTGAACGCAAAAAATAAATAAAAACACGGGAAAATAAATACGAGAGGGGGAACTCTCTGATGCTATTGCGAAAAATGCTGAAACCACAGAATGACATCGGAATTGGGGGGGAAACTGTGGAATAGCCGCAACTACAACTAGACTCCGTTTCCGATAGCCGTGTATTGGCCATGTTTCCTGTTGGCTCATCAATAAATCTGTATTCCTGCCCGGCGCCGCTGCAGACAAAACTCTGTCAAAATTTTTGCCCAGCCAGCCAGGGTTCAAAGTTGTAATACAGAAAGAAATTAAAGCAACTTATTTGAAGATTATTTTACTAATTTAAATCAATTAGAAAAACATGTAAATGTGGCCCATAAAATATATATATATTTTCAAACGTATCAAGTTTTAGAATTGCTAGGATTTCTGGCTTTCTCAAATCCCTTTTAAGATTTCTCCCTGTGCATCACAGAAATCGTATATAAATCACACTATTTCCGACCAGTTTCAGGGACAGTTTTTGGCCAACACCAAAAAAAAAGGGAGCCAAAACCAAACACCTGCTGCTGCTGTATGGACTCCAGTCATGGTCAGGGCCGGCCCTTCAAATGTCAGAGAGTGTCCCCCGACACACACACAACACACACACACACACCCTTGGCCAGCTGCCAATGAAATCTCTGGCAAACCAAATAACACTCAAAGTCATTTCAGGTTGAAAATGTTTGCCATCCAGTTGGAGATTGGAGAGAGGGGAGACGGGATGGTCACATATTGCGGCAGCGTTTTATTTGCATTTTTTATTGGGCCCCAGGCCCCAAGGAACCAAAGAAGCAAGTGCAGGACCAGGACCAGGACCACCAACAGGACCGTCCTGCTGTTTGTAACTACTATAAATATATCGTTTTGGCTTTTATTTCAAATGGTGGGGGCTCTCTCGCCTGGTCCAGCCATAGTTTGTATTATTTATGGCTAACTAAAAGCTTTTACATTCGGGCAATTTTAGTTTTTTACGAGTTTGACAAATGTCGTTGGGCATTTAAAGCTCCACTGGTGTGGGCATAAATTCTAATTAGAATGGTGCTCTCGTGAACTTTCCACCAGAAGTGGGAATTTCATAAATTTCAGATAGGAAAATACACAGGAAAATTGGTTGGAATTGATTATATATTATAGAATATATATGAATATTTTAAAACCTTTGATGATAGGTGCCGAATAAATCTCTAAAACTCCTTTAAACCATAAAGTGTTTGGCCAAATTGTTCAAGAATTCACTTCCTAATTATTTAGTAATATAAAAACACCCTAAAGTATAAACTTCTCTCGCAAATTGCTGGCATTTTTAAAGAAGTTTTAATATAAAAATGACTCCTTAAAAAAAAACAAGAAAATAAATGCTTGAAAACTGGTCAAAAACGATCATAGTTTTTCCCTGTGCAGGCGCAAAACTATTTGCACAATGGCCATGGCCAAAAGGCCAAAAGGCAGACGAAGTCTGGGTCCGCGCGGCGCGTGGCAGTTACGTTAACGTTAAGTTAACGTTAGCGGTGCACTGGTGCAGTGGTTCGGGCCAACAACGAATTACCAACAACCAAACAGGCAGTAAGGCAGCCAGGCAGCCAACAACCAGCTGCGGATGAATGAGCCGGGCCCGAATGAATGGCTGCAATTTGCACCAGCAGCCGCCGAAACGAGCCTTCTTTTTTTTATGAATGAATAACTTTGAGGCCGTTTTAACGCCCGGCTGGCTGCCTCTTTAATTTTGTTGTAAGCAAATTAATATTTATTAATTGGCAACCGTAAAGATTAAAGCGGCTTATGCAGGCAACAAGCCAGTGGCCATAATGGGAGCTCTGTTCTGGTCTGGTCTGGTTTTTGCCCTACACAGTTGACATCTCGGTTTTAGCCCGAGATTATTCCAGCGGGGAAAATATTTTGCGATCGACGATGGTGGCAAGTACCCATGAGGAAATGAATAATTATTGAATCCCGGGCTTTAAACAATTGCGCAACAAAACGTCACACACTTGTGCATAGCACCGGTTTTAATGGCCCGTAAATGAATTATTATTGGCTATAGAAACTGGCTTTGTATTATATTTAATCTACTGAAGTTGTATTACTCATCTCCTGCAAGCGGAAATTGGTTGTGGTTATAGAATTTTTAACTATGGGTTCTTAAACGGAGCTTAATTATAGAAATGGAAAAGTGTTTAGAAAATTATTGGGAAAAAGATTATATATATAGTGTAACTTGGTTTAAATAATTTCAGTAATAACCATATTTCTATGCAATTTTACAACTGAAAGAATGTTTTTCTTCAACCAAAATTCATTCAAACTTATTTGTAATTTATTGGCTAATTCATCTTTTCGATCAAGAATCTTAGATTTATAATAACACATAGAATATTCAATTAAAAAAAGGAAATTGGTAACAAATCTTGAAAGTTTTCGAGTCTGATAAAAGTTTTATTTTCGGATTCAATTTTATTATCTATCAAATTTAGATAAAATTTAAATAGTTTTTTTTAATTTAAACCATTAAAAATGTATGATTTATCAATTCTTCATTTATACTTTAAATTAGCATTCCAATTTTATTCATTCATTTTTTATAATTCTTATAAATTGTTATTTATAAATGTTTATTTATTTTGATATCAATATGCATTAACATATTTTATTGAATAAAAGATATTCTCCTTATTCATGATTTAAATCATTCCTATTTTATTTATGTAAATTAAATGAATATCCTTAGTTTTTATAAATACGACTTTCTATTTATTTATAATATATTTATTCATGACAAATATTTATTCAAAAATGTTAACCGACTTTCATTGTTAATGTTATGCGTAAATTGCGTTTTAACTTTAATTTATAGCTTAGAATTTGCTTTGTAATAATTCCATTTAAATAATTCTGAAATTATTTTAATTTAATGTTGATATTTCCTATATAATAATATAGAATTTATTTTATTTATTGTAGGTTACTTTGTCTTATTTTAATTAATTATTTATTTCAAACTTTCAAGAATTTGACATTAAAAAAAAGAAATAGAATTTAACTCAAAGAGAATTCACTCAAAAATCACTTGCACTTCCGCTGTGTCTCTCTATCTCTCTCTCTTCTCGAATGTCCTTCCTGCAGGACATTCCCGTTTGTTTTGCTCAACTCACCTTTCTCACTCAAGTAACAGAACGATTTATTTTGGCACAGAACTCTCTTCGTGTAGATTCGTGTGATTCTGTGTGAGCACTAGCCACGGATTTCGTGTATCTTTGAGATACTTTTAGCACAGAGTTATAAGATCCTTTTCGTTTTTAGATCTCAGATATTGGGAAACTTTCAAACGTAGCTCAACATTTCGCGCACTTTTTATCTTTTGCAATTTTTTGGCTTGCAGTTTTTGTTCGATTTGTTCGATTCACTTGACAGTTTATGCTTCTTTTTTTAATTTTTTGTGGGCTTAAGCTATATAATGTGTAATCCACTGTGTTGGCCAAGTTCTGCCGATGGCTGGATGGGCTCGGCGGCTGCTGGGGACACACACAGAATCAGAACCAGAGTCGCCACCAAGGTACAACCGCTTCATAAAATTCAAAGAGACTCGGACCCAATAGCTTCTCGTCGCTTATTTATATAGCCTACGTAGCGCGGCGATTTTTTTTTTGAGAAAAATCAAAAGTACGTAGCAATCCTCTGCCAACGCTGGCTGCGGCAGCACACCGACAGCGACTGCGACTGCGACAGCGGCAGAGCTTAGCTGCAGCGAGAGAGACCAAGAGAGCGCTCTGCCGTTTCAGAACCAACAAACAACACACACACCACACACGGCGGCACACTCACTCACTCTCCCGGCAGAGACAGACAAACACACTCAAATGCTCAAAAGGCGAACTCATCATTTGGATCTACGCTGCCGGCGTCAGCGTCGCAGCAGCGCCAAGCCGGCTTTGGCGGCAGAGACGCCGACTGCAGCAGCGACGCGAGCATGTAACTTTGGCCAACTTCGAACGCGACTCTCTTTTCTTTGGCCAACAGCAGCAGCAACAGCAGCAGCAGCAACAACAACTCGGCCATCGGCTCAGGTCGGCTCGGCAAGTTCTTCTTCCACGCCACGCCACAAGACACTTCGTGGTCTTGGTCGTGGTCGCGGTCTTGGCCATGGCCATCAGAAAGCGGCAACAGCAGCAGCCGCACCACCACCACAAGAAGAAGAAGAGGAAGAGCGATTCGCACTCTGGCCAAAAACGAAGCTCAACACGATGCTGGATGCTGATGATGATGATGATGCTGATAAAGGTGATGATGCCAGAGATGCTGTTGCTTAGGTTGCGGCCTCATGTTGCTAAGCGGAGAATGTTGCTGGCATACACTTAGATTAACAAGTCTACAAGTTTATCAAAATAAACTTTAAATATATACGATATTTATCTAAATTTTTATAAGACAATTTTTTCGACTTTTCAAAGTTTAAAACTCGCATAACTAAGCCAAAAATGCATTAATTTTAATTCGGCAAGCGTTCCCATGTTAGTTTTTATTATATTAATAAATCTGCATACCGAATTTAACATTTGGGAAAATTCAATTTTTTGTCAATTTTTGACAATTTTAATGATGTAAAAAAAAAATTTTCAAATTTTCGAAAATTTTGAAAAAATTAGATTTTTGTCAGACACACCTAGATCGATTCGCCTGTTTATTCTGATCAAGAATATATATGATTTATAGGATCGGAAATGATTGCTTCACTGAGTTACAAGCTAAAAACACCCTTCAGGACTATTATAACAATTACCTTGAAGTTGAAAGAACAAACTAATTAACACAAAAAAAAATAAATAATAAATCTACAAAATATAAAAGAAAACTTATTCCTTTCCATTACTAATTTCACAATTAACTGCTACACCAAATATCCCCCACTTTTCTTTGAGTGTAACTATTTCTCTAGCTTCTAGATGTTGCTGTGTTGCCACTTGTGATGTTGCTTCCCCTTCTGCTGCTGCTGTTGTTGTTTTTGTTATTGTTGGTTGAAGTAGCCTGGCCAAGATGCTGAAGATGTTGCTGCCGTTGGCTGCTTGGGCACTCAGTCAGTTGGCCATCAAGCGGCGCTTTGCGGTTTCGGGCCAAAATCAACTAGCAGTCAAAGCCTTACTTGCTCCAAGTCAAAGGCCTACAGCGATTTCGAGTACAGGTGTCGACGAGCAGCGCCGCTTCTAATTAAACAACGTTCAAACACAAACAACAGTCAGAGTGACTGGAGACACTGAGAATAAATTGGGCGCTGAATAGAGAAGAAATTCCTGATAAATTCCGTCTGTCTTTTTATGCTCTTTTTGAGGACTTTTGAAGCTAGGATTGAAGCTGGGATAAGATTATGTCAGCAGACTTTCGAGGGATTTTAGGTTTATAATTTAATTCCAATCATTCACTTTTCCCTCTTCAATCATTTTCGCTCAGTGCACACATATAACAAATAAGGCTCGGATGGTCAACCGGTTTTTGGTCCATATCCATCTCCGTCTCCATCTCCATGGGGCATGTGCCATGTCCGGACTACGACTATGACTACGGACGATTCTCTCGCACTTTTGTGCGTGACTCCCATAGCAAAGGCTGGGGCTCTGTGTGTTAACCTTTCCTATAATTAAACACTGCTGCTCGCAGTCCCTGTTAATTGTTTTTCTACTTTGCGCTTCGCGAAATTCCTTTGTTCGGTTCAATTAATTATTTAATTGCGCCAGAAGTTGGCAATTTCGCACTTGGCTTTGTCTCCCTTTTTGGCCCGAAGTCTAACCCAAACTCAAACCAATAGAAGTCGCGCGCGCGCTCTCCTCACTCACTCACTCACTCACTCACTTCTTTTGCTACCAACTTAACGGCTGGAAATTGCGATTTCGATGCGGATTCTACGGATGCTGCGGATGCTGCGATTCGATTTTCAATAGTTCGGGAGCCGGCACGTCCATTACACGACGCGCACGTTTCGCTAATGAACTGAACATTTCCGCTTTTTTGCCGGCATCCTTTTTGGCCGCTGTCGCCGGCATCTCCAGCATCTCCTTGGTCCTTTCGGTCCACGTCCATCCAAGATGCGCCACTGCGCCGGCGCGTGTCGAACATTTGAGCGTGAAATCTGTCGCATTGCCACAGCCAGAACCAAGCCAGCCAGCACCAATCTCCATTAACAGAGGCCGCCTGCGACCATAAAGAAAGGCAAGGAATAAAAACCACCCGCTCCCACTAGCTCGGACCCGCTCCTCAATGCCCATAGCCTTTACAAAGGCACTCAAAGAAATGGCCTTGTAATGGATGAATTTAATATAAATCTATAAGTATTAATATTAATTGAATTCAGGGAATACGTTATATCCCTACATAACTGAAATATGACTAATATCCTGAAGCCAGAGGTGTCCTACCTTGGCTCATTAATCATGTATGTTCTTTTTATGGAGAGGTAGATACTTAGTTTTAAAGAGCTTTAATTAAAATTGATTTAAAAGAGATTAGCATGCTTTTATATTTTTTTTAATGGCACCTACAAAAATATTATAATTATGCATACTGAATATTTAAAATATTAGGAAGAAATAAAAGAATGAAAGAAGGTGTCAATTATTAATTAGTAACAAAAGCAAATGATTTTTGATCAGTCTATAAAAAAACAAAAGTATTTTCAGTACAATATTTATGGTTTTAGTAGCGAATAGGAATATATAAATGACTTTTGGTTATCATTTGCTATTTTACATCAAAAAGACTTCAAATATGAGCATTCCTTAAATTTATGTTATTTTTATGGAAAAACTAATAATCATAACTCAGTCAAAAATGCATTGATTTTAGTTTGGAAAGCTTTTCTGTGTTAGTTTTTGAACGGTTTAAAAGTCTGCATACGCAATTTTAAGTTTTAAAAAATTCCAATTTTTGCCAATTTTTGACAATTTAATGATAAAATTATAAAATTGTCCAATTTTGAAAAATTTTCAAAAATTTTGTTTTCGCCCAGACATGACTAGATCGATTCTGCTGTTGATACTGATTAAGAATATATGTATATGATTTATAGGGTCGCAAATGACTCCTTCACATAATTACAAGCTTCTGACTATAGTGATAATACCCTGCAAGGACATAAAAAGGTATACATATAAAGTTTTTCATATTTTCTACATAATTTCCTATCTCCAACAGTTTCTTTCAGTGCATTCTGGTGCTACGTGTTGCCGGCATTTGTCGATTTACCGGCTGTGTGTGTGTGTATGGGTGTGTGTGTGTGTGTGGTTGTGTTTGCTCTGCTTGTGACTTCAGTTCTTGTCGGGATGCTGCCGTCTCGTTGTCGTGAAATATTTTTGGCATTTTCGCTTTATACGTGCAAATTTTATGGCTACAATTGGTGCGAAATGCCGAAATGCCGGACATGCAAAGCGCTAGACAGGGAAAGCGAGGAGAGGCGATGTCTGGAGGAGCAGGAGGTGGCTTTCGCCCACCCACTCTGGATGGGTTTTTGGCTCAATTGAGTGCTGGCCATTGTGCGCACAGGGTGCAAAAGGTGGCCAGAAACGCAGCTTCTTTGTCACTTATTTCTCGCGAAAGAGCTTACGAGATAAGATGAATTTCCGAACAGAGATTGGGGTTTTTTTTTTCAAGCTCTTCTCTTATTCTGGTCCATGAATCACGGTTCGCATTTAGAATTACCTGTCGACGAGGCTGCTGCTGGTGAACGAGTGCCATTAAAATCATTAACCATTAAGGCTGAATGAATGAATAAAGCTGGATTGAAAACAGATTTAAATTCCATCACCTTTTTGGGGTTTCTCCTGGACACTCATCGCACCCTGTTCGGTTGTGGGATCTCCAGGCTTTTAGTGGACAAACTATCCGAGATGGAGAATCCTAACCACAGATGCAACCCTCGCAGAGCTGCTGCTGCTGTTCCTGCTGGCTAAGTGCCATCCATCACAGGACCAAAGCACAGGCAGAGGCACAACCAGACCAGAAACCAGGACAACCAGTGCAAACGCTTGAGTAAATAAATAGCCTGCGACAGTTTTTGCCACGAGCACACAGGGGAAAAGTGAAGATTACTAGGGTTCTTTATCCTCCAAAACATATATTTTAACTTTTGAGAGGTTACTATATAAGTTTACTTTACAAAAATTGTCATAAAGTTGCTTTAAATAAATAAATAAACATTTTCTTTAATAAGTTTCATATTCTGAGATATGTTTTGTGGCATTTTGCGTTGAAGTTGTATAGGAAATTATGCTTTGCGATGATTTTAAACCTTTTAACAACATTTTTTACAAGGACAGTGACTAGATTCTCTTTGTAAAAGTTTAAATATATTTTAATTTATGAAAATCCCTTAAAATATTATACTTTCGAAACCCGATTTTTTCTCCGTGCAGGAGAGCATCGTTCGGGGCAAATGCCAGGCGACAATGTCGAGTGATTTCCATTGTGCGATGTGACAGGTGTCACCATCCGTGGACAGGTGGGCGGGCGGACAGTTCAGGACAGAAGGCGGGAAACAGGCAAAACAAGG